AAAAAAAAAAAAGCATGAAAATACAGAGAAAAAAGATGTTTACACCTATACATACACGTGAGACCATTAGGGACTGCTTGATCGAAGGGAAGAGTTCTGGATGTGTTGCTCGCGGCGACGACCTTTTGGACCATCAATCTTCTCATGTTCATATTTTCTTTTTGCTTTCTTGAGTTTTTTATAATTAAGAAAAAAAAATTGATGGTTTTATGGAGATTTAGGAAGAGGATGTATTAACGGCAGCACCATGAGACTCAGAAGAGTTTGTTGTTTGGAGGAACACAAATGACCACGGATGAAGGGAGAGAGAGGGTTGACTACTATGTTAATTGTCCTTTACTAATTTCTAGCATTTATGTAGATATTTATGTTAAGTTAGGTCATATTGCAAATAAGTGTTTAATTTCGTATTTGTGCAATATTTTAGCAATCACTAAAGCATGTATGTAAATTAGCCGAGAATATTTTGTCCCACTAGATCAAATAAAATGGGCTGCCATGTAGTTGTCTTTTGGTCCTCTTCCAACGCACTAGATTAAACATTTTTTTACTGTCCGTTTCCGCCTCATTAGTTATTTCGATCTCATCCCTCCTATATATAATTTCAGAATGTGCTGAGCCCCAAGTGGCAGTCGTGCACGCTTCCATCCTATGTGGCAAATTTTAAGCCTTGTTGTTTGGCTTGGATGAAATTTAATTTATTTTCAATTCAAAATTAACTAGGTTCGAAATATTCAGAAATATAATAGATAGTTACGGTCCCTTTTAAGAGCATTAATTATGTTTTAAAATTATTCCTATTGTGGACTTGATTTATAAGATGTGGTTTTTTTTTTTCAATCTTTCTTTTAAAGTTACTAGTGTGTGTATCCACAATGCACGAGCTAGTTTTATTAAGGAAATCATTTAATTTGGATGAGTGGATGATTAGAAGAGAGTAAAACGCATGGATCGGAATAAAATGAAATGTTAACTTATATATTATTAAACACATTCTTTTACACAACATTATTTGTTTGGTCTTTTAGTAAATCCACAAATTATAATACAATTCTAGATAGGCTTAAATAAATCAGTTAAATTATTTAGCAGGTATGATATTATTTATACTGGTTTTATGAAGATTGCATAGTTAAATATATCAGAGATAGTAAAACTTCTTTCTTGATAATCTATATCCTTATTATTTTAAAATTGTAAATTACTTAATTTAATGAAGGAAAGAATTATGTAAGTGTATGCTTTCAATTTCAAATTTGTATTGTAGAGGATTAAACAAAACCCAAATATTTATGATGTTCCAATCTGATTTCATTTTAAAATTAAATTAATATTATCTGACTTTGTTTTATGTTAAAAAAATCCGAGCTAAAGAAAATAGAAGTCAAATGATAATGAATTTTTAATTTTAATTTTTAATTTGAAATTGGGTCTGATTCTATGCAATCTAATTTTTTTAATAAACGCAATCTGTTGCAATTAGGCAAAGATACATGTTGTAGTATTTTGTTTAATTTGAAATTCTCGATTTTATGGTATACATATTTTTTAATAAAAAATGAGAGAATTCTGACTTTTACGAAATTGTTATGCCGAATTTTACCTAAATTAACTCAATTTCTATGCAATCTGATGTTTTTTTAATAAACATTTTATGTGTTACAATTAGGAAAAGATATATGTGATAGTATTTTGTCTAATTTGAAATTCTCGATCTTATGGTAATCAATTTTTTTAATATAAAATGAGAAAGAATTTTGACTTTTGCAAAATGGTAAGCATCGGTCGAAATTTACCTAAATTAAATTCATGGGACCCATGAATTTAGGGTGCATGTGTAGCTGATTTATTTTTTGGGAATAATTTAAAAATAAAATTCAAAAAACTGCCAAAAATAGAAATGCAATAAATATTGGTTGATTTTTTTGTTACTATTTTTTGGTAAATAGGCTCTCTCTTTATATATATATAGATAGATAATAAAATTAAAAACTTAAGTTACAAATATATTTAAAATTTAATAATTTATTATTTATTGACAAATTTTATATATAATATATCAAATTAATCAAGTCTTGATGAGTTTCGATTTAACATCTATATTATACAAACAAAATAAATAAATAAATAAATTTATTTATCTTTATAATTAAAATTAAATTGCTTATAAATATTAATTTAAAAAAATAAAAATATTTAATTATTTTAACTACAAAGTAGTTACCTTATATAAATTAAAAAATTACACTATAAGATGATATATCGTATAAGTGAGGGTGTCATTTTAAATATGTATATATATATATATTAAAAGTATTTAAAAATTTAAATAGTTTTTGTTGTTAATATTATTTAGTTAAATTTAATTTTCTTAACAAGTACCCTTGCAGAGTTGCAGTACACAAGTATTGTACTAGTTTTCTACTAAAACACATGTAAAATACCTCATCATCGCTTAAACAAATTGACTAAAATAAACAAAAAAATATATCAAACTACGATAAACGGGAACGAAAATAACTGTAAAATGCATGTAAAAATGACGCATGTCATCAACTCATTTAATAAACTTTACAACGTAGACTTAAACCCAAAACTCTTATCGAGTTGATCCTAACACTCTCGACTCGACTTGTTTGATAGAATAACTCAATTAGCTGTTTGATATGAGCTTGTGCAAATATACAAGCTAGTCGAGTTTGAGGTTTCACATATCAAACAAATCTTTGTAACGGGATAACTCAATTCAAATAACATCAGTACATTTTGCAGTTCCAAGTGAAAATAATTTCTGGCTACGCCCCGGATTCTAGTAATTTTGTTATTTGTAATGTACATTGAAATGATTGTTTATAATATCGTGTTCTAGTCAAACTTATAATATTTTGAAAATAAACTCTAAAATGTCACTATATACATAAATAAAATCAAATAGAAAAATAAAAGTAAATATATATGTGAAATTATATATATCCATATAGGGTCATGCTCCGATGAGAATGATGCTTAGTGAAAGAAATAAGAATACATCGTACCCACTAGATCCAATGTTTTTAAAATAATATACTTTCATTAAGGGCATTGTGGAATTTTGTATACCACACCCAAAGAGGTGGGCCCACTCCGATTAAAACACCTACCAAATAAATAAATACATCCTACAAAACATCCCCGCCCACCTAACACCACCCTGCATATTCTCACACACACCACACCCCCATCGAACCACCGCCAGTAGCACTGCTTTGTTCACCGTTGCCGGCTAGATGCACGGCCACAAACTCAGCATCCGTCAGCATCACTCTCAGCCACCATCACCCCCTCCTACACACATGCGCGTACAGATACACGACAACAACCACCATCACACTGAACGAATTTTTCGATGCCGCTGCCGCTCTTCAAAAATCACTACCATACCCACCATCACGGCGGACAAACCCACCACCGCTGCGGCAACCGTATTCATCGCACAACCATTGAGACAAGGCCGCCACTGTGGGCGGCTCAGGTCTGACATTCATTCACGGCCACCGAGCTCCTTGCCATTAATGGCGTCATTGAACGAGATGGCGTTGTGTTAGGCGGCCGCCGCGTCCGACGCCACCGTCTTCATCTTTTCCATGTGCCGCGGCGACATAACATTATTTTCGGGCATGGTAGATGGAGAAGAGATTTGTGGGGGGTTTTGTGTGGAAATCTGATAAATAGTAAGGTCATACATGCAATTTTATAGGGTTTTTGCACACTGCACTTTAGGTCTTGGGGTAAATTTACAATTTATCAAAAGTTTAATTAATGAATATTAATGTTATATGAAAAGAAATCTATAGTAATATAAAGAGGTTGTTGGAAAAATACAAAAATAGTAACTTTGACTTAAAAAATTAAGTGTTGACTTACTATTAGTGAAAATTTTGAAAAAACACATGTGAATCTTTAGAAATCAAATTTAAGGGAGATATCCCAAACAAATTGGAGATTCTTAAGGTAATAAATTTTGAGATTCTTATGCCAAAATTTAATTCATTTCATAAATACGAATCTCATTTTTATTGGTAACAAATTTGGAGATTTTTATTCCAAAAATTTGAGATTTTGAATTGAGATATTCCAACAATTACGGATTTTTATTCCATTCAAATTAATGATGCAAATCAAACAAAAAATTGTTCCAAGAATAATGGATGTTATACTAAATATTAATAAATCCAATCCTCCATAAATTATTTATATTTATATTTTTTTGTGTAAATATATTGATTTTTTTCTAAAATAATAATAAATTATATTATTTTATACTTAAATCCTGACATCTTTTCTATTTTTTGGTGGTTTATATTCTTTAATTGAAATAATATATGAACTATTTGATTGAAACAACTTATTTTCTTTAGGAATTAAATTTAATGAGATATCCCACAAAACTTGGAGATTATTAAGCTAACAAATTTGGAGATTCATATGCCAAATTTTAATTCATTTTATCACTACGAATCCCATTTTTATTGGTAACAAATTTGGATATTCTTATGCCAAAAAATTGAGATTTTGAATTGAGATATCCAAACAATTACGAATTTTTTTTCCATTCAAATTATTGTTTCAAATCTAACAAAATAATTTGTTCCAAAAATAATGGATGTTATATTAAATATTGATAAACTCCACTCCTTCATAAATTATTTATGTTTATGAATTTTCGGGTGTAAATATATTGATTTGCTTTTCTTCATAATAATAAATTACATTATTTTAGGATCTAAATCCTAACTTTTTTTCTATTTTTTGGCAACTTAATTTCTTTAGGAAACA